TGTGCTGATTGACCAGCAGAGGGAACAACCAGCCTCATGCACTACCTCTGCTCCACTGCCAGCCTTCCACAATCACCTCTGTTGTCAGCCACTGGCCCTCCAACCCCACCCCCTGCTGGTGGGCAGGCAACTGGCAAGCAGGAATCAAGCCAGTAGCAGGACCCACCAGTACCAGTGTGAGGGAGAAGACAGTAAATACAGGACAATTTGCCCCTTTTTAAGTTAGTCAGGACACCTGCAGGAGGGTTTAAACATAGGACTGTCCCTTTAAAAACAAGTCAGGGGGTCACCCTAACTATATCTGATGAAATAGCTATAAGTAAGTAACGCTCTTTCAGGTGTGTGGGCCACCTGGCAGTGAGAATAAAAAGTGTCCCCCCCCCCCCCCCCCTTTTATTTTTTCTGGCATGTTGCCCTGTTTTCTTATGGATGCTCTCATTACAAAAGTAATAACCAGATGTCTCAGCAAGATTGTTTTTATAAAGATACCACAGTCTATGCTTACCCAGGGTCATCATGTGTTTCCTTTACATTATAGTATTTGTTTTTCCTTCTTTTGGACTTCAGCTGAATGTGCTATACTTCTGTGTTTGATTTTTATTTAAAAAATGACGTGTCTTGCAAGTCAGTTTTTAATTTTCACCTTCAATTTTCTGAGCTCTGCTTTGAGTCCACTTACTTTAAATCTCTGGATTTTTCAACAGCTCTCACAAATGTTGTTCATAGCACTGTTAAGGACTCCCAGAGTTGGAGTCAGAATCCCAGCAGCAAAACGCTCACACCTACTCTTTTCTGCCCCATCTTTTTAAGTGGGGTACCTGGCAATGTTTTCATGATAATCTAACAATCCTTCAATTACGTGAATGCCCAGCCTTAATCACCCTGCCTCCCTCTTTTTTATTACAAACTGCGTGCCCCAAAGGCAAAGTTGCAAGAAGCTCAAACTCTGTTGCAGTTAAGAACTGCCTCTGGAGTCAGAGCATGGGCTTAAGGCAGACCTCAAGCATGAAATCTAAGAGTTGCAACTTCTGGAGGGGCCCTTGCTTATACCTTGTTGGAGCCCATGTATACAGAAGCTCTGCCCCCTCCCTTCAGGAGACTGAAGTCTAACCTCTTCCTGAACTATATCTCTACTGCCTGAGACCAAAATTCAGCAAAGCACTGAAGCATGTACTTAACTCCCATTGAAATCAATAGCACTTCAACATGTGGGTAAGCGCTGTACAGCACTGGTCATCAGAATTGCCTGTCAGACTCTATTCCTTCTATGTAACTCTCATCTCTCTTACGTTAGCTCCCAGAACAGATTTGTGCCCTAATCTAATGGTTCTATGGCTGCACTACTCTAGTTATCAAACATTTCACTTTCAGAAGACAGTTACTGTCCCTTCGAACAAGTGAACATCATTCAAGATATTTTGGGAGCCTTTCTGTGAGTGGGTAGGGGACTGGCAGGGAAGTGAGGAGGTGAGCAGTGGGAGGGAGATGCAACAAGGAGGGATGCAACAAGCCAGAGTTGGGGTACGAGCCTGGAGGAGGCAGAGGCGGGGCAGTTGTGGAGTAGGTGAGGCTCATGGTATCCTCCATGTGGCCTGATTATTTTACTATTGTGATCTGGTCACAGTCTTGAGAAAAGACTTCAACTTTGCATTTCCTCCTCTCCACATATTCCCTTTTTCTACCCGTTACAATGTTTGGATCTTTGGTCAAGTTTCCAAAGTACTGCTCAAACTTTCGGCCTGACGCTCAAACACTGCATCTCTAATTTTGTTGCTATGAGTGCACCAAGACAGTTCACCTCTCAGAAGTGGTAGTGATACTGACCATAAATCACCATTTTGTTGTAGCTCTTTAGAGAAGTAGGAGCCTAATGTTTAAAAGATTGAGAAGGTTGTATCAATATTGCTATGAAAGGGCATGGCTAAATGTTGATAGTAGCAAAGATCCTTTCGCATGGTATGCTCAAACCAGAAAACAGTTTATACTTTAAGAATTAAACTAATTGTCTACAAAAGGGCATAATGTGCTTGAAAGAAGACAGGACTGGGCAGATGAAGATAGAAGAGAGATACAATATAGGCTGGAGGAATGAACACCCGGTGGGAATCAAGAAGTCCTAAATTCTAATTCTAGCCTTGCTGCTAACTAGCCTTTGTGCTATTTTTTCCACGTCTGTAGGGCAGGTTCCTGATGTGTTTTTTTTTAATGTGAGAGTGGGGAAATAATTACTAATTTACCTATCTCACAGGAGTGTCCTAAGGATTAATTAACTAATTTGTGCCCAGCGCTTTCAACATGTAAGACACTAAATGCCTCATTCTCAGGTTGATTTATACCATATTGGTAGTGTTAAGGGACTTTTAGCACTTCCAAAGGAATGTAGAGTGGCCTTAGTGTAAATAAAGAATCTGATCCTAAATATGCTAGGTATTATTATCTGAGAGGAAATGAGCAAAAACATTCCTGTTGTTGGTATCAGCATAGCAGCTCAGGTACAAGAAACACAGATCTCAAACTTTATTTTAAATTACATATTGCTAATAGAAAATCTATTCTTTAAATAAGGTGATAGGTTCATCAAACAGTATATGCATACTCTGTATTGAGCCAGTTTGCTATGCTTCAGCACATCCAAGGTGTACATATATTGAGTGTGTTTAATATACACCCTGTGGTGTGTTATTGCTTACCCAAGGCATGACTTTGTAGTTCCTGTTAATTGTGTTTTCTCTTCTAGGAAAGTAAGTTCACTCATTCTGTATTGTGCCAAACCACATAATCCGAAAAGGACTATTGTGGCTCCACTTGGAAAAACCTAACTTGGCTTCAGCCATCACTGGGAAAGTGCTATAGTCTTTTATTATTTTAACTGGCCACATGCCCTTTTCCCCCCACATTAGCAGCCTCCCTATGGTGCTTGTAACCTTGATATTATTTTCACTTTTACACTACATTTCACCAGATGAAAGACACAAACCCTTCAATTTCAAAAGAAAAAAAATAGCATGTTTTGTTAACTCCATATTTCAAAAACAAAGCCTGTGAAAATTATAACCTATGTTTGCTGGCTGCAGTTGTGCTCAGTAAAGCCATCTTGTCAGCTGTTCTCATTGGCAAAAGGAAACATAATATTTTGGTATCTTTAATTTGTCCTTTCCAGGGGAGAGTTTTGCTTGTGTCATCATTCAAACCATACATGCTAACATCAGTCTGGTAAATATAGCACTTTATGCAGACTCAGTTTTGGACAGTAGCACTATGATGTTGCAATAAAGCAGTTTTAGAATATGAAATCCAACTTAAATTACTTTCCTGAGTATGGATTACTGCAGGTGTTCTACATGGCTCTTGTGAAAAAGGTTTTTTTTATTTTTGTTCTAATGAAAATCTTCAAGTGGATGTGAAAACAAACATGCATGTCTTAGGGCCTGATCCTGCATTTATTGAGAGTTAAGGATGCACATCACCTATAAAGACTGAGCCTTTAGTATGCTTTTTATTGTGATCTTGACTAATGTTCAGGGCCCATAGCTCCACCTCAGGTGAACAGGAAGCAGCAACTCCTACTACTAGGCCTTGCAGAGAAACAAGTATGGTGTTTTGACTTGCAAATGGAATTTGTGGGCAGGAGTTCCAGGAACGGTCAAGCCATTATTGAACAAAATTATACTGCAAATAAGAAAAGGACTATTTAAGTGTATTTATTCTTAAGGCAAGACAATAGGATTTATAATATGCATATGCCCCTTGGTTGCTTTTCTATGTTGAACAGTTATTGACTATACTGTGTGGATTATTTACAATTCTCAATTGATAAAAGTAATTAGACCTTTGAACTTCGACAGGCTCTAGCCCCAGAATCAAGCACAACATAATTAAGATTACTGTTGGTCTGGGAGCTCCCATGTGCACAAGCAATGGCTCTCACATGAAGGGCAAAGCAGAGTTCTTAATAATTGTATTAATACTATTAATAAAAATACAAATCTGCCACTCCAAAAGAGAATGTAGCTCTAGTTGTAATATTAGTTTGGCTTCCAGTATCCTCCCATGTCCATATGCAGTTCTCATGGAGACCTAGAAGTGGGTAGATAGGCGGTAGTCCATAGGGGCCCTAGTCTTTCTGGCATGCCAAGAAAGTCCAACAGTCAAGGTCTTCTCACATGATTGGGCCTGATGGTCTCATGAATATTCATAGCCAGTCTTCCTTGATGGGACTAGCTCAAGAAGTCTGTTTCCAGTCAACCATCAGTGAGCTGGGCTCTTTCTCTTATCTCCTCTCCAAGCTCTTGTTGCAGGGAAGGTAGGGGAACAGTGACTGTAGCCACAGACTCATGCTAACCCCTTCAGGCTGGCATACCCTACCACACTTTTCAGGTGAGCTCTGCAGTAAACTCTTAAGAAAAAAAAAACCCAAACCAGTTTGCAGGGTTTTTTAGTTTCTTGCAGCTTTTTTTTTTTTTTTTTTTTTTTTTAAAAAGGATTGTACTGTGTCTTTTAAAAAATAAAGTGGGAGGTTTGACTGAAGTAATGTTATATTCCAAGTTTCTGCTTTCTGCTTACGGCCTCCTTCAGGAGAACTGGGGGGAGAGGAAATTCTCCTGATTTAACAAATGTATTTTTTTGCATCCTCCTCATTGTTTTACCACCATTCATGTTTGTGGGAATCCCAACCGGTCTTAGGCTTGAGTGTTGGTCACTGTGTTGAGGTGATCAATTACAGGTTGTTACTATTTGTATATGTTTCACTATGTTTTTAGAGCATGACAACATTATCTTCAGTAGTGCTGATGTAGAATAAGATCGTACAGTCTGCTAAAGCAGTGCTATAGTTGCTTCTGTGTCACACTTCACAGTCCCAGGATTGGCAGGATGCAAATCCACTTTCCCATACATCTTTGGTGAGCTGTGCCATGTTTGGCGTTTAGCAAATTTGTTTTTCATGGCAGGACTTTTTTTAACTCTCTCAATCATAGGAAAACCTTTTTATCCTTCCTCAGGTTATGAGTCATCCCTGCCATGGGGAGACAATGTCCACTCAGGCTCCCTACCGCAAGTGAGCGTCTTTGATGGAAGTGCTGGAGTCCTGCAGGGTTCCACTGAATATTTCAGCGCTGGGAATTCAGGTAAGTCCATAGAATCAGGCTTCAAAACACTAGAAATCCCCTTTTTAAAATGGCAAATACCTTTGGGTAGTTTTGACACAGGTCACTATCCTGAGTGCCACTCTGCATCCTCTGACAGTCATTAGGCTGTGCTGCCCTGAACCAAGGGCCACTTTTAGGGTCCATCTACGTAGCAGTTATTTCGAAATAACAGCCGTTGTTTCAAAATAACAATACGAGCATCTAGACAGCAATTCCGTCATTTTGAAATAATTTCAAAATAATGGATGGGCTTATTTAGAAATCTGTAAACTTCATTCCATGAGAAATAACGCCTATTCTGAAATAGCTGTTTTGGAATAGCAGTAGTGTGGACACTCCACTGCTGCTATTTTGAAATAGCTCCTCCCCAGAGCCATTCAGAGTAATTACTCCTCAGTGTATCCTGGGGCTCTAAATCGAGGTAGCACATCCACATTAGGCAACCTGCCTTGGACTAGGTTTTGAAGGTTTCCCTGCAGTGTAGACACACTATTTTGAAATAAGCTATTTCAGAGTATTTCTTCCAGAATAGCTTATTTTGAAATAAGTGTGCAGTGTAGACATACCCTTATAGACTCTAGTCATTAGGCTCTACTGCCCTGAATGGAGGGCTGTGATGACTGACTCCGTTTGCTAATGACTTTAGCCCTTAGGCTGTACTGTCCTGGACTAAGGGCCATTGGTACATACTGATAGAGGTTGCTGATGACCCGGCTGCGGACCAGGTGGCGTCCACACCCCTGCATACCCGGACCTGAAGGGATGGGGTGTGTATTTACTTCAACACAGGTTGCAACACTTTTCACTGGAATTACCCCAATAGTTAAAGTTAAACATAACACTAGATTCGTTTTGATTTAAAAAAGAGAACAAGTTTATTTAACTACAAAGGGATAGATTTTAAGTTATTTTACAAGTACATGGTATTAAAGTCAGAAATAGTTACAAGATAAAATACTTTCTAGGAACATTTGTACAAAGACTATTACAGTAGTGTGTAGGTACATCTACAGGGGTACATTTGGTTCCAGTTGTGCTCTTTGAAGTAGGAATAAGAGCCTCCGGAAAAGGGCGCTTTTTCCAGAGGATCGGGGCCAGTGTAGACGCTCTTTTCCGGCTTTTCTAAAAGCCGGAAAAAAGCGGCGGACATTTTTATTTAAATGCCGCGGGGGATATTTAAATCCCCCGCGGATTTCCCTACTACGATAGCTGAAATTAACATGCCCCTTCCGGAAAAGGGGCCAGTGTAGACGTAGCCTTAGAGTGTAGAGCATTCCTCCCAGTTAGAGAGTTCTGTCATATTCAGTTAATGGCAGAACACATGATAATTCTCTTCTGAATAAAAAAACAAGGTAGAGCACAATCCCTTCTTCTCTGTTCCAGGGTGGAGGATCCCCAGAAAGAGACCTCAGAGCCCTGTCCCAGGAAAAGGCAGCAGAGAGATCCTCCAAGCTGCACGGATCCAGTCAAAGCCCAGCAGGTTCATATAAAAGGAGCTGCAAGGCCAGAGTGAATTCAGTCTGCTGGCAGGGACTGGGGGAGTAAGAGGTGCTCCTGGCTGACTGCAGGAGCTGAACTGATATTGACCCCCACTTTTCAGCTAGATCTGAGGACTAAAGGCCAGGCAAAGAGCTTCTGGGGAGGAAACCTGGGGGTGCTGCTCCATTCCCAGGGCAGAAACCTTTATCTGTATTGGTAAAGCCCCTATTGGTTTTACTGAGGATTGAGCCCAGAGAGGGTGACAGAGACATTGCCAGCAGAGGGCTACCATGATGGGCCTGGTTGGCCTGTTAAAACACTGAGCCCACAGAGGGCTGCAAGACATGTTGGGACTTATACCCTGCAAGGGGTAGGTTTGTTTTGCACATGGACTGTATGTGACTTGGCTGGAGAAATAAGCAACTAAATACCTGACTATGCACAGCGGCCAACAGGAGGCACATCAATTAGAGAAATGGAGAAACAACTGCAGCCACCCACACACACTCAACCACAGAATGCTCACATGAGATACACGCAACCCATCCTAGGTTATCAGTTTAAGGAAATGATACATCAGGAGTCACACCACGCTCTCAGCAACATACCTATCTGTTGCAGACAGTCTCAGGTGGGATTTCTCTTCTGAATGAAATCTACACTCCAGGGGAAAGCTACCCTCAAACCATTTGCCTCTCCTATAAATAAAATGTTCATTCTGTTTTGCTTCAGAGCAGCACTAGGCCAAGATTCCAGGAGCAATGTTCTTCTCTTATCCTGAACCTTTCTTCCCATCACAACGACAGGTCCGGCAGAAGATCCATCCTGATAAAGCTTGATTCATTCTCATAATACCCAACTGACCCAGATAGTTATGGCTTCTGGGCCTTTTATGAATGGGAGCCTGTCCTCCCATCAGTTCTAGTCACTCAGGAGAATGGCATGATCAGCCATTTCAACTCAGGGCTTCTTCAACTCACAATCTATTATTTGGGTGGGCCTCAGACCTAGAAAGTGCATGTTCAAAGACCATTCAAACTGTTCTCAAAGACAGCAGAGAGGATTCTACCAGAAGACTACCCAGCTAAATGGAAGCATTGTTCTACCTGGAAGCAACAGACCCACTTATCCTCAGAAATATTAGGTATTCTTCAGTGAACTACCTCCTCATTCCCTCAATATTTTGGGACTTTCAGTTAGTTCACTGGGGAGGGGGGAGGGGTTCACCTCACAGCAGTCAGTGTCATCTGTCCTCTGGAAGAAAGCTATTCTATTTTCACTGACCCAACAAAAATTATATTTCTGAAAGGTTTTCCCTGCCAATGGTAAAAGAAACATGACAATCAGAAATGAGTCTTGTACTACTTACCAGACTACTCTTTGAACTGTTGAGCCCATAAGAATGGACATATAGGGTCAGATCAGTCATCCATCTAGCCCAGTGTTCTGTCTGCCGAATATGGCCAGTGCCAGATTCTTCAGAATTTAACACAGCAATTATCAGGTGATCTATCCTGTCATCCAGTCCAGGTCTCTGGCAGTCAGAGGTTTAGTGACACCCATATATCCCTGACCATCTAGGCACTGGTTCCAGCCAGCCTTAACTTTGGTTCAGGGTCCAGTCAGTGTGGACGTGCTATTTCAAAATAGCAAAACGCTATTTCAAAATAGTTTTGTGTGTAGATGCGCTATTTTGAATTAGCTTATTTTGAATGAACTATTTCGAATTAAGTGAATTTGAAATAGCACTGTAGTGTAGACATACCCTAAGTGATTTTTAACTTGTTCTTTTTTTATTTTAACTTCTAAACCTACCCCCTTCCCACTAACATTCACTATGTTACGCATTCCTTCATCAGACTTCACAGTGAAGACCAAAACAAAGAAGTCATTACGTATCTCTGCCATTTCCAAGTTTCCTGTTACTGTTTCTCCCTCCTCACTGAGCAATGGGCTGACCCTGTCCTTGGTCTTCCTCTTGCTTCTAATATATTTATAGAATGTCTTCTTGTTTCCCTTTATGCCTGTAGCTAGCTTGAGCTCATTTTGTGCCTTTGCCTTTCTAATCTTGCCCCTGCATTCCTGTATTGTTTGCCTATATTCATGCTTTGTAATTTTTCCTAGTTTCCATTTTTTTATATGACTCCTTTTTTATTTTTAGATCATGCAAGATTTCCTGGTTGATCCAAGGCGGTCTTTTGCCATATATCTTTCCTACACAGCGGAATAGCTTGCTTTTGGGCCCTTAATAATGTCCCTTTGAAAAACTGCCAACTCTCTTCGGTTGTTTTTCTCTTCAGTCTTATTTCCCATGGGACCTTATCTACCAGCTCTCTGAGCTTACCAAAATCTGCCTTCCTGAAATCCATTTTCTCTAATTTGCCGTTCTCCCCTCTACCATTACCTTAGAATCATGAACTCTATGATTTCATGATCACTTTCACTCAAGCTGCCTTTCACTTTCAAATTCTCAACCAGTTCCTCCCTATTTGTTAAAATCAAATCTAGAACAGCTTTCCCCCTAGTAGCTTTTTCAACCTTCTGAAATAAAAAGTTGTCTTCAATGCAGTCCAAGAACTTATTGGATAGTCTGTGCCCCGCTGTGTTAATTTCCCAACATATATCCGGATAGTTGAAGTCCTCCAACACCACCAAATCCTGCGCTTTGGATGATTTTGTTAGTCGTTTAAAAAAAGCCTTGTCCACCTCTTCCTCCTGGGTAGGTAGCCTGTAGTAGATCTCTAGCATGACATCACCCTTGTTTTTTTTTAACCCTTTTGGCCTAACCCAGAGACTCTCAACACAACCGTCTCTTATGTCCGTCTCTACCTCAGTCTAAGTGTGCACATTTTTAATATATAAGGCAACACCTCCTCCCTTTTTTCCTCGCCTGTCCTTCCTGAGTAAGCTGTAGCCTTCTATACCAATATCCCAATCGTATGTATTATCCCACCAAGTCTCTGTGATGCAAACGATGTCATAGTTGTATTTATTTATTAGCACATCCAGTTTCTCCTGCTTATTACCCATTCTTCTTGCATTTGTATATAGGCATTTAAGATACTGATTTGATCTTGCCTCCCAGTTCTGCCTTGTCCCACCTTTCTCTCTGCTATTATTGCCCACATTCCCTCCCATTTCAGACCCATATCCCAGGTCTCCATGTTCTTCACTTATCCATGGGCTTTGGTCACCTGTCCCCGTCGAACCTAGTTTAAAGCCCTCCTCACTAGGTTAGCCAGTCTGTATCCAAATATGGTCTTCCCCTTCCTCGAAAGGTGAACACCATCCCTGCTTAGCAGTCCTTCCTGGAATAGCGTCCCGTGTTCAAGGAAGCCAAAGCCCTCCTGGCGACACTAGTTTCGCAGCCAGACATTCACCTCTAGGATGCACGTGTGTTTGCCTGGGCCCCTACCTTTGACAGGAAGGATCAAAGAAAATACCACCTGCGCTCCAAACTCCTTCACCCCTACTCCCAGGGCTCTATAGTCACTCTTGATCTGCTCAGTGTCACACCTTGTAGTATCATTAGTGCCCACATAGATGAGTAGCATGGGGTAGTAGTCAGGGGGATGGATAATCCTCAACAATGCCTCCGTAACATCTCGGATATGGGCCCCTGGCAGGTAGCATGCCTCCCATGATGACATGTCAGGACGATAGATGGGCGCCTCCATCCCCCTCAGAAGAGAGTCTCCGACCAGCACTATCCACTGGATTTGTATTTGTTTATTTTTTGCTACCAAGAAGCATCTCCCTTACCAAATCAGAGCACTGGAGCACAAAGAAATTCAGCCATGAAGTTTCCATGCGGTAAGGTGGAGTGATTTCAAATTGGGATGCTGCAGGTGACTGTTGTCCTGCATGATGAAGTCTGGAAACATGGACAAGGTCATGGACAAGTCTGGAAACATGGACAAGGTGTGTCCAACATGGGGAATTAGTGTTTTGAGAAAGAGTGATGCTTTGTCCTGTCAGACCTTGAGAAGAATCAAGAAGGACAAGAGGAAACTAAGATAACGAGTCTGCCCATGAAAGGAGAAAGGCATTTGAGCCAGGGCTGTGGTTCATGAAAGAGCAGAAGTAGTGGTCCCCCTTTGTTCTGTGTTGTGAACACATCTATTTGGAGATAATTCCGTTTCTGGAAGGCTGAGAGACCATTTGTGGCCCTGAAAGGACCTGATGAGGTGGTCAGGTAATTTGTTTTGGGAGCCCGGCAGGCATGATGCCTCTAGCTGTATTGAACTGGTGATACAAATGTACCACAGTTTGAAGGCTTTCAGGCACAGGGGAGAAGAACAAGCACCATCCAGTTTAGAATGTTGCCGTTGTGTTGTCCATCAACACCGATACACATATGCACTGAAGTTTGGTCTGAAACGCCTAGTAAGCTAGACACACTGCTCAAAGCTCCCTGACATTGGTGTGCAGCGATAGCACTGCTTGGGACTCTAAACCTTCAGTCCTGACATCGCCCAGATGTACTTCTTACCCCAGCGCTAATACATCTGGATATGTCTACACTACCCTCCTAGTTCGAACTAGAAGGGTAATGTAGGCATACCGCACTTGCAAATGAAGCCCGGGATTTGAATTTTCCGGGCTTCATTTGCATAAGTGGGGAGCCACCATTTTTAAAACCCCGCTGGTTCGAACCCCGTGCAGCGCGGCTACACGGGGCTCGAACTAGGTAGAACGTGGAACGAGGTGTACCGGTAGTTCGGAATAGGAAGCCTAGTCCGAACTACCTAGTTCGAGCCCCGTGTAGCCGCGCTGCACGGGGTTCGAACCAGCGGGGTTTTAAAAATGGCGGCTCCCCGCTTATGCAAATGAAGCCCGGGAAATTCAAAAATGGCGGCTCCCCGCTTATGCAAATGAAGCCCGGGAAATTCAAATCCCGGGATTCATTTGCAAGTGCGGTATGCCTACATTACCCCGCTAGTTCAAACTAGCGGGGTAGTGTAGACATACCCTCTGTGACTAGTGACAGTGATGGCTGACTCTTGGAAGAGGGTACTCCTGCCCAAACTACCTGAAGCTCTTGCCACCACTGGAGAAATCTAAGCACCAGAGGTGGAATGTGGCCAGTCTGAACAGAAGTATGGATTGGGCCTTTATACCTGAGTCAACTACGCCAGAAGAGGGAGTAACCACAGCCTTGTATGCTGCACTAAGTACAAGCTGCCTTATGCTCCACTAGTTTTAGGCAAGTCGTGGTAAGGAAGCATGGAAGATCTTTGATGGTCAGGCGGGAATGCCCTGGCTTGAATGGAGGGTCCCAATGAATTCTATTCTCTGAGTTGGAGTTAGGGTCAGTTTCTCCACATTGAGGATGAGTCCCAGTCTGAGGAACATTGTACACAACAGGTTTATGTATTACTCCCCCGGGACTCAAGATGGGCCTTCAATGAGCAAATTGTCTGTTTGGGAAGACTTGCATCTGGTGCACAAGAAGAAAAGTTGCCATGCACTGGCGAACACTGTAAGGGCTTCTGACAGTCCAAATGGAAGGACCATGAATGGATAATGCTGACCGCAAATCATAGAAATTGTCTGTAGGATGTAATTGTGGATATATGCAAGTACACATCGTATAAATCGAGGGCAGTTTACCAGTCTCCTGGATCCAGAGAAAGAATGATGGAAGCCAGCAAGACCATGCAGAACTTCATCCTTTATGTGAATCTGTTGAGGTCTGCAATAGGCCTGATCCCATCCTTGGCTTTGGGGATTAGGAAATAGCAGGAGTAGAATTCCTTGGCACTGAAGTGAACCTCCTCTATGGCCCCGAGAAGGAAAAGTAACTGTACCTCCCACATAAGGAGTTGTTTGTGAGTTAGGGTACGTCTAGACTACCGCGTTTTGTCGACGGAAGTTTTGTCGACAGATACTGTCGACAAAACTTCCGTCGACAAAGAGCGTCCAGACACATTGAGTTCTGTCGACAAAGCAAGCTGCTTTGTTGACAGAACTCCGTAGTCTGGACGCAATGTTACAGGCAATAACACCTTCTGTCGACAGAATTCTGTCGACAGAAGGAGTTATGTCTCGTAAAATGAGGTATACCAGCGTCGACAAAACTGCTGAGTTCTGTCGACGTTATGTCGACAGAACTCAGTGGAAGTGTAGACGCTGGTATAGTTTTGTCGACAAAAGTCCACTTTTGTCGACAAAACTAGGTAGTCTAGACACACCCTAAGGTCCCTGAAGATGAATGAGGAAGGTAGGTGGGAAGATGGAAGGGAACAGAATTGGAGAGAATATCCCAATTCTGCCATTCTCAGGAGCCAACAGTTTGAAGTAATTTGAGACCAGGCATGGTAGAAATGGGATAGATGATATGTAGACATCTGGCTAACTAAAATTATGCTGGACCATAGATGTTGCTGAACTAGAGTGTGTGGACCTGGAGAGGTTCAACCTGAGAGGTACAAAAGTGTTACAGCACACTGTCACAAAAAAAGCTTTCTAATTTTTTACCATCTAATTTTTTTACCATTCAAATATCAGTTTGAATAAAAATATTTTACTTATATTTCAGTGTATAGTATACAGTGCAGTATAAACAAGTCATTGTATATATAAAATTTTAGTTTGTACTGACTTTGCGAGGCAAATATCTAGATGAGTTGATGTACCCTGTGGAAGACCTTTGTGTACCCGTAGGTGAACAAATATCCCTAGTTGAGAATCACTACTATGCAGTAATGGAAAGAGTTGGGCAATCATAACTATAGGCATCACTATCAGCTTTGTCTTAATTCTTCAGTGTAAAATTATAAACCCACCCCTTTCTTAACTTCTTGCATAAAACCTTGTATTATATTTTCTTGGAAAGCAATGCAAGATTCTTCACCGGTAAAGGTAGACACAATTAATAGTATAAATATACTGAAGAAAAGAAATTAAAATTAATGGGGAATAAATCATAATTTAAGATTAATTGTATTTGGTTGTATATAATTGAACATTAATTGTCAATCTACAAACTTTGTAGATATAAACAATATTTGTTTTGTACCTGTGTTAATAGTGAACTATTTTCCAGTAATGAAGGCAAAAAAGTGTAGTCTTTAGCAAGTTAAATAATTAAAGGGCTAGTACTGAATAGATTTATAGTCTGTAATTAAAAATCAAACCATATAAAGATCACTATGCTCAGAGCACCAATTTCTAGATTGCCTCATCCCCTAACAATTCCATCAGCTTCCTTGAGAATGGATGGGTGGGATTCGAGAGAGAATTTGTCCAGTAAAACATAATTCTAAGCATCCTTTTAATAGCCCATAATATCCCAGTATTTTTAGACAGCAACTGCATTATTGAATCTGAATAGTTTATTTTGCTGAGAAAAGCTACCAATACAGAGATTGTTTGGTGGAAGAGGAACATAAAGTGATGAAAAATTAAAAATACAAACTTCTAGACAATTTGTGATAGTTCTGTTTCCACATGTTTAGATTCTAGTTCCTAGGAACCTCTGATGATACAACTACAAACAAAAAGAGATGCTGAATGTTTAGATTATCAAGAAAGCAAATTTATGATTTTCATACTCAGATAATGAGCAAGCCAGTATGACTCAATATAAATACAATTTCAAACCTTTTATGGTTAAACTTCATTTTAAAAAATATGCAGGCATTTCTGCCAGCAGTGTACAAATATCAGTATTTGTCAAAGGTCATTCTCACAACCTAACTGAAATGAAGGCAGTGGAGTTTGAGACAGATCTTTCCAGATTTCCAGTTTAACATCTCTGTACCTTAAGGCTGTGTCTACACTGCACCCCTTTTCCAGAAAAGGGATGCAGATGAGACAAGTCGGAATTGCAAATGAAGCGGGGATTTAAATATCCCCCGCTCCATTTCCATGAACATGGCTGCCGCTTTTTTCCGGCTCGGGGCTTTGCCGGAAAAAAGAGCCAGTCTAGACGGGGATCTTTCGGAAAATAAAGCCTTTTCCAAAAGATCCCTTATTCCTGATTTTAAGAGGAATGGTGCAGTGTAGACACAGCCTAAGAGTTTGAAAAGTCTCATTGAGGAAACTGTGTTAATCTGTATCTGCAGAAACAGTGAAGAGTCCTGTGGAAGCTTAGGGTACGTCTACACTTGCTCCCTAGTTCAAGCTAGGGATGCAAATGTAGGCGACCAAAATTGCTAATGAAGTGCGGGATATTTAAATCCCTGCTTCATTAGCAATTTCAGTCACCTACATTTGCATCCCTAGCTCAAACTAGTGAGCAAGTGTAGACGTACCCTTAGTTAGTTAGTCTTCAAGGTGCCACAGGACTCTTTTTTTTTTTTTTTAAGTTTGACTTTCACTATCAAAAGCTGGCCCAATAAAAGATGTTACTTTACCTACTTTGTCTATCTAGACCCGTGGTCCCCAACACGGTGCCCGCGGGCGCCATGGCACCCTCGGGGGCATTTGTCTGCGCCCGCCAAGTGCTCAGGGCTGGCCTGGCCCTGGGCACGTGGCGCATGCGTGGTGCCGGAGCCAGCCCCCGAAGTTTGACTTTCACTATCAAAAGCTGGCCCAATAAAAGATGTTACTTTACCTACTTTGTCTATCTAGACCCGTGGTCCCCAACACGGTGCCCGCGGGCGCCATGGCACCCTCGGGGGCATTTGTCTGCGCCCGCCAAGTGCTCAGGGCTGGCCTGGCCCTGGGCACGTGGCGCATGCGTGGTGCCGGAGCCAGCCCCCG